CGCCAGTCCTTTTTAATGCTTCCGACTGTTTATTAGTTTCTCACTTCTCATTTACTAATTGCTGGCCTTTTATCTTACGACTTATCTTGGTTATTCACTTGATACTTTTAGTTTGATTTGTTCTGTAATTCTCATTCATACGTGTTAACGCTGAAGAAGGACACAGGCGTGTCAGAAATATTCGTTTGCAATAAATTTTATGTCTCTATTATGTCAACGTATGCTATCGCTTCATTTTCGTATTTACTTTTATTTATATATTCGTATGAGACATATGTGGAACCTACTACATCGGATACAACTATATATATATATATATATTTATATCTTATATTTATAGATATTGTATTTAAGATATCCTGTAATTGGCTTTTTGCTGTTGGATGATGTTGGAAATAAAATAAATAAATAATATAATATAATACAATAAAGATAAGTTAGGTTTCTTCAGTGTGATATACTTACTTGTAACCCAGACAATTTTGAAGATTTATTTCCAGTGAGGTCATTCTAGTACTGAACTGTTATAAGTGTTTTTGTATAATGTATATAAAGAAGATATATTAAAACTAACTTTACATATCAATTTTAAGGCTCCAGAAGAAGAAAAAGACAATCTAAGTTCCGTTTTAGATGAAGATTTGGACTTGGATACAGAACCTGAAGATGTTGGAACACCCTGTAATGCATCACCTGCAAATGGTAGTAAAAATTATGAAAAATATCACTGTTAAATATTAATAAATAAATATAAATTTTCTTTGTTTTCTTTGTTTAAAAATTTGTTTTGTTTTTTTTGTAATTTCAGGTGAGTTATCTACTCCTACTCCTGCTGAGGAATTGCAAGAAGATGAAGCAGATGTCAAAGATGAGGTTGAAAGTGATATCGCAACTCACGCAAACACACTGGAAAATACAGATCTGGATGAAGATTTCATTGACAACTTGGAAGACAATCAAAAAGACATGCAGAGCCTAACTGAAGATGAGATTGCTCCACCTGTAAAACTTACACCATGTCAGGAAGAAATGCAACATTGTAAAGCTGTCGTTGACAATATTCGTAAAAATGAATTTGGTATTGGCGCCATTTTGGGCAAAGAAGGTGAAAGTTTGATGGAGGTTCAGAAAGGTCGCATTGTGCGAAGCTTGGAGCGACTTTCTACTGAACTCTACAGTAAAGATACACACTTTGTACTTGAATTGGTTCAGAACGCGGATGATAATACATATAATGACGACTGCCAACAACCATCACTCCTGTTCCAGTTGGAAGATGGACAAATTACTGTCTATAACAATGAAAAGGGCTTCAGTGCAGAGAACATACATGCACTGTGTGATGTTGGCAAAAGTACCAAAGGGAAACATAAATACGGATACATAGGTACTGTTTAACTTCACTATACATTTTTAAATTGATTTTTCCCTCTTTTAGTAATAATTGTTAAGTAAAAATGTGCAACATACAATGAAAATGACAAGACAGATGCCTGAGGATTGCACTATGGTAGTGCTATGCACCACCAGAGAAGCTTTAATAACTACCATACATGCCCCAAGTGGAGCAGCTTTTTTTAAATTTGTAGACCCACTTCTTGAATATTCAACAATTAGTATATATAGCATTGCTATTTATTTCTTTATTCTTTTCCATAAAGTGGAGCAGCTTTTTAGAAACTTGTAGACCCTCTTCTTGAATATTCAACAATTAGTATATATAGCATTGCCATTTATTTCTTTATTGTTTTCCATATCAGTGAAATAATATTTTTTAATTAAATTTTAAAAGCAAATGTGACTATTTGCTTGATGTCTCTAAGATTAAAGGATTCAATATTTCACCAAATGCATAAAAAAAATTTGGTCATTGTTTTTTACTAAAGGTCACAAAGGAATTGGGTTCAAGTCAGTGTTTCGAGTGACTGAGAGACCTGAAATACACTCCAATGGCTTTCATATCTGCTTCGACCGGCAAGCAGACTCTCTCGGCTACATCCTTCCCACCTGGATAGGTGCTTCTAAAATAGAAGATGTCACTGAAGATGGTGACAAAGACTCAAAAGGGTAAATATATTACCTTTTTTTTCCAATTTGTTTTAAGCATTTATTAATTGTTCTTTTATGTTTGAATTTAATTACTGCTTTACTAGACAAAGTATTTGTTATCTACAATATGTAATGTAATGTAGTTAGATTTATATAGTGCTTGATACTAAAAACGTAACAAAGCAATTAAGGTGTAGACTAGCTTACAGTAGCTTGCTTCTCCCCTAAAGGTCTCTCTGTGTTAAGCTGTCTGGTAAACCAGTACAAGCTTCACCTGTCTGTCTGCAACAGGGGCTGAATGGACCAGTACACCTGGGTAACACCTTACTTGTCTTAAAAGATATACTGGGTTCTAAGTGCACACATGCCAAATTGTGTACACTGGCCTATGGTTCAAGCTGGCGTCACACAGTCAAATTAGTACAGAAATTTTGGTTCAGTTTTTCATTTTGACAGGAGTACGTAGACACTTGATATTCCCTAGCCACACTATTAAATTTTTGATAAATAACTTGTTACCTCATGTAAATATTAGGGACAACCTAAATAAGGGTATACTGATGCTGGATATATTCTTGTGCGGGTCCCTACCATTTCCCAATGGTCCATACTTTCTATGCTGTGATTGGCTGATGATTTTCAGATGTCCTCAAAATCTGAAGGCAAATAGAACATGTTCTATACTTTCCAGTTCTTTTTCCATCACTGTGGAGCCAGGTTAAAGCAAAAGTCGCAGTAAAATCACATTTGGGAATCAAACCAGGTACACCCCATTAATCATTTTTACTCTGTATGGATATTTTAAGTAAAAAACTGACCGTGTGACTCCAGCGTTAGAGTCCTTATTCTAGAAGACTTGTTGCACCACCAGAATGATAGGCAAGCCTGCCATTCAAACCAGCGCTGATGTTATGGCTGTACGTTGCAGCGCCCCTGCCTTAATGGCTCAGCCACCTAAACTTGCTATACTTGCACTACAGAATTAGCTTAGCTCAGTTGACTAATCTGGTGGTAGCCACTGTGTGTGGCAGCCTCTCCTTGTATTTCAGCTAGAGTGCTGAAATACAAGTTACAATAGTGCACTGTCTTTCGGATGAGACGTTAAGCCCTTGGTCCCTTGTGCATTTATGGCCCATGTGCACGTTAAAGAACGCAGTACACTCTTCGGTAGAGAATCGTCTTCCGGTGTACTGCCCAATCACCACCAGCAGGACCACTCTGGAAATAAATCTTCTTCTAGACTTTTGTGGGCTATTTTTGGTGTTTAGACCGAATAAATTCAATCAATCAATTAGTCAATCAAAATTAATTTCATTATACATTTTTACTTAACCTTTCTTATTGCATATTTTTTTCTTTCTATGTTACTTTTTGTAAAATTAAGTTTCATTTTTGTAAATAATTCAATTTACTAATATTTATGCTGTGTATGGAGGTATTTGACTTTTTATGTCTCTGTCATATGTTCTTTCTTGTATTAATTGAAATACATATGTGTATTTTTTTTCAATTATCATGTTGTTTTGTTTTACTTTGAACTAGTGCTGCCTGTCATTTTACTGCGTTTGAACTAGTAATAGATTGGAATTTGTAATCAACATTTTTTTACACCTGCACAGATGGCAGACGAGGATTGTGCTTCCTTTGAAGGACGAAGTTTGTAAAACAAACAAGCTTCTAAATCGATTCGATGATATCCAACCATCACTGCTACTTTTCCTGCACAGGCTGCGTTCCATTCAAGTTGTAAATCAGGTAGTATAGTATTTAGATCAAAAGTGAAAATAATGTTTGTTACATTTGTATATGTTATTGTTTTATTTGTATATTAAAGCATCACATATAAAAAATGAAGCATTAAAGCAAGCTCATCAGTCTATCGAGATTTAATTTTACTTCATACAAGCAAATCATGTGCCACTGATGCAAAATAGTAACTTTCAAATTAGTTAATACATATTAAATTATTGTCATCCTCCTCCCCATCACTGCTGTCATTGCTATGATATTCTGGTATGTCCTTATATTTAAATGTACTATTTAGTACAAACATTTTTATTGGATTTAATACATGGGATATGTTTTAATAAAATTTGTCAAATGAAAATAAGAAAATTTGAATACTTCAGTACATTAAAACTTTCACAAAAGTATACTGTTTTTTCATCCAACAGCCAAAAGCTTCAGTAGTAGAGATGAAAAGAATTGATCATCCAAAGAGCGTCATTGAAATCAAACATTCTGATGGAACTGATTTCTGGCTTGTCGTCAAGGAAATGATCAATGTTAATAATTCAGTGGTAAGATATAATCTTGCTGACACGGCTTTGGAAATCCTTTACAATAGAGTTTAATATTCTTGTAAACACGTTTTTGATAATTTCAGTAAACAGTTTTGATATTGTTCATAGAAAATTTGTGACTATTAACTTTAAGAAATATCTTTGTGGCGCTTCGAGAATTATGACTGCATAAATTCTTGAAATGTAAATTTTATGATATTTATGAAGTCCTTATGTGCACATGAGAGATATCAACTTATAGAAAAACAAATCTAACCTTCCTTTTCAGTGTGAAAGAGTTGATGTGGAATCTACAGAACTTGCTTTGGCATTTCCTCTACCAAACAGCAAAAGTACTTCAGACTTTGTATTGAAAGACCAGAACATCTTTGCTTATCTACCTTTGAGAAGCTACGGCTTCAAGTTTATTATACAAGGTAAAGTATTACATATTCCTATAATCCAGAAATTAGTACCATTGCTGATACTAAATGACTGTCAACTATGACCATAAATGAGAGCAGATGTAAACTATTTGTACTCTTCCTAAGTGGATTACTACTAATAAACCTTTTTTGCTAAGCCCCTCCCTTAAAATATTGTTGCTATAATATCCCACAAAATGACAGTGTACAAGCATACGCACACATGCGTTTGTGAGACAGCTTGTGTGTTTGTAATATGAGTTCGATTGACACTCCGGAAAGGTTCATGCAATTCAAGTTTTAATTTTCCACAATTTCTTTTAAAGCTAAATATGTCATTTGCAAAAGTTGACATTTGAGGGCAGCAGAGCACAGGTAATTATACTAGAATAGCTTTATACCTATGGAATTTTCCTTCAATTCAGGCGATTTTGACATTCCTTCTTCACGTGAAGATGTTGACAGTGACAGTGCCTGGAACCAGTGGATCAAGCAGCATTTGCCTGCAGTGTTTATCAAGGCTTTGCAGTTTTTCAAAGTGAGTTCTTTACTTGGAATTGAATATTGTCTGGCACTTTTATTACAGATTTAGTGGTTGGAGTTATCTTCGATCTGGTTGTCTCAAATCATCCTCTTCTTACTATTTATTGAACATTGATTACCCTCAAAACTTGATTGATTATCTCATAAATGAAAGAGGCAGTTGTTTTGCTGAAAATACATATTTGATATGATCCATATTTTCCTATTATTTCAGGACTACTACGGTAGTAATAATGAAGAGGTTGCAGTGTGTAAATTCCTGCAGTTTGTTCCTGTAGAGGGTCAGATATTGGGATTCTTCAAGAGCGTTGCTAAGAACATTCATCAGAAGCTTAAATCATTTCCGTGTCTTCCTGTTCAGGTTCCTGATGGTATGTGTCTCCATGTGTTTATAATTTAAAATGCAGTAAATGTTCTTATGACTGGAGAAGGAAAACCAGTCTCCATAGTCGACCATAAGTTATACAGGCCTACATCTGTGACTTTTTAACATTGGCTTTAATTTTGGAAAAATCATATCTCTTTAAAAAAGTCTTCAAAAAAAATTCAGAGAAAGCTGGCAAAAATGAAAAGAAAATTTTATTTTCTCATTTAACAATGGTCCTGCAAAAATCTTCTTTTTTTCCCTCTCATTCTTCCACTTTATTCAAAAACCGACATATACAGTGAACAAAAAAAGAAGTACTGTATACAAAGCAAAGTTCAAAAAATGTGTCCAAGTTTCCAAAAAAGCTTCTTGGTAAAAGGAAGAAAATCGAAATTTGTATTTTTTGAAAGAATAAAAAAATGTGAGTTGATGGGTGGTTGTGTTGTTAATGATGATAGTTATGATGCATGTGGATTCTACATTAAATGTTGTTAATTAGTTATAATTTCTTCAACATTTTTCAAGAAAAAGGCTCAACAGTATGGAAGCAACCATCAGAAGCCATCATTGTACATGATCCATTGGTACAAGAACTTGTACCTCCAGAAGTTCTTCACTGCCACCTTGGCTGCTACTTCTTGAGCAATGTTGTCTGCTCTATGTTGAATGTTGCTCTCTTGAAGAGTCTTGGAGTTAAAGTCATAACAACCAGTAATCTCATTAGTCTCTTTAAAGGAGAGGTTTTGAAGGCAAAAGCAGATGGTAAATTAAACATCTTTGTCATGATTACACACATTACTGCAATAATAGAAGTTTTGCCATTTATTGATAATGTCATCCAAATGCTGATTTTAAAGACAATGAAAATGTTTATAACTATGATGATGATTATAATTGTATTATTTTTATTGTTTATTTACTATGCCCTTGATTCGACGTGTGATTTATAATGTTGTGCCTTCAACATAATCCAAATTCCCATAGTATCAATAAAATTTAAAAGCCAGGCTCCGGAGGAAAAACATTTTTAATTTATGTCTTTAGAAAAATGAGTGTATATCAAAAAATCTTTTTCTTTCAGAGCCTGGCTTTATCAACTGACCAATTTAAACATTTCTTGGTCTAAAGTTGTCTCAAAAACTTGTTTGATATTTTTTTAACAGGTGTCGGTTTAAGTATCCCTTACATTGCTAAGTGGATAACGTGTATATATCGCTGCCGTGAGGAAGAGCATGACATATCTGAAGAACCAATTAAAGAAATGCAAGCTCTTCCCATCATTCCCCTAAGCAATGGGAAATGGACAGATCTCCAAGACAAAAGTGTATTTTTTTCTTTAACATTTGAAAAACAAAGGACTGACGTGTATGCCCCGAAGAAAGCTGCCAAGAAAGAAATGCAGGGTATGAGCATATGATTTATTTCTATATTTTGGTTATAAATTTTTCACTAAATAATGAAAAAATTGAAACCGCATCAATGTGCCATCAACAACCATAGTAAACAGCTAGAGAAAAAAACCAATAATAATGTGCCAAAATATATCTTGGTTTATTTGATTTGAAATGTGATTATAAATACCATAATTATCTTCATATACTGTAGGTCAATATATCATTATCATCATTACCACTTATCATTACCATCATCATTATCATCATAGGCTATTATCACCATCATTATAATTATAATCACCATAATCATCATCTTTACCATGTCTATCCCCATTACAATTGCCATATCATCATGCTGTATTACATCATCACAATCATCATCATTGTCACCTCAAAGTCATTAACCTTTTAACCAGGGTGGTTTTCACAGTGCCTTTTTTTTGTTCGAAGATAAATTAACAGTAAGTTAATGGAAGTATATGGCAAAGTAAATTAATTTAGACATTATTCAACCAATGGTTTATATCACAGGTGGGCAAAGTGTGGCCCGCGGGCAGCATGCGGCCCGTCAGTGATTTTTTTTGTGGCCTGCGACAATTGAAAACCCTATGTTTGCGGCCCGCCAATCGAAATTGGCTAGAAAACACCTTGTTTTTTAAGGCCCGACACCAAAAATATGTAAAACGTAACATTAATACTGAGAATAAAGGTGATGTAAAAGCAGTGATTGGAGGTTTTTTGAAGCTCACTGGAACATCAAATTTTGGGTGCGGCCCTCTGTGTTAAATCAAAAATTCACTTTGGCCCTCCAACTGATTTTTATGCCCACCCCTGGTTTATATAGTCATAGCCATCTATATGTAAAAGTTTTTCACAATTACTTTATTAGGAAGTATCCAGATATTAGAATCAGATATGTACATACTACATGGTGATTTGATGACTTGTCAGGATAGTTTGGCAAATTCCCAGGTTATGCTGATGATGGAACATTTAGGAGTTTGCCATATCAAGCCCTATGATGTTATACACAACCACATCTTACCTGCACTTAGAGCTGAAAATTGGGAGGTATGTATGAAGAAGAGAATTATAATTGTTTTTTGAAAGGTATATTGTAGTAGTGTACATAACATACTAGAATAATTTTTAATAACATATTTCATTATAATTTTAAAATTTTCTCACTTTTCTAGCATTTTATTTATTTATTTATTATAAATTTGACATATACAGAAAACATTTGACACATTCTTGTACAAAAAATTAAATAAACAAACAATCTACACTGCTAACCTGAAACCTGTTGGAGAATTAAAAGGATTTTTTTTAAATATGTTATAATCCATAATAAATTCATCTATCAAAAAAATTGAAAAGATAACCTATAGACTACAATAGGGCAAAAGAAAATAATTATTCTACCTTATTACAATCTGCAACTTACACTTATGGCGCCTTGCCAAAACTGTTGTTATCTTAAGATTTTGGCAAGGCAACAACAATCAAATGTAATTATTATATTTGATTGTTGCTGTCTCGCCACTGGGATAATAAGATAAAAGCAGCCTTTGTTTTAAACGATTTAAAATGATATATGAGTATCTGACGACAGAAGGAAGACCGAAATGTCCACTGATTAATGTCAGATAAGATACTCCAAGTATTGAAATGCACGCCATCATGTTGGGATTCAATATTTCGACATTAATTATGTCATCATCAGGAATGATGAAGGAAGATAGGGTTTTCCAAAGCTTTGCAGCATCCATCTATGATTCAAATGATTTATGCGCACACTGGCTGAATGAGACAATATTGATTACTATGAGAAAAAGGAACACTAATGTCCTGTGGGAGAAGCCTTATATAAACGTGATGCCAACAAGACTCTGGATAAACTCCTATTAAGTAAAAGTGGAAAAGGTTATACATACTTAAATGTTCTGGGTTCTGGATGACATGATATTATTATCATTGACATCATCATCATTATCATTTTCTTCATCATCACCATCCTGAGTCTATATGAAGCAATTGTTTACATTTCTCCCTCTGCATCCATACTGGGTCACTCTAATCCAAATCCTGCAGAACAATTCATAAAAAAATTGTTCTGTCTCTTCTAAGACATGATGCGTTATTCAAGCTCCATTTGAGAGCTGCATTTGATATTGAACCAGGGACCAAGGTTACATAAAGCTCATTGCAGTCCAGCACACAGACAGTGAACTATTTCAACCGATTGAGGGAAGCTGTTACCTCTATTCTTTTTGTTGTCAAACAGATTTTCTTGCCCAATGTCTGAAGTCCATATGTGCAACATGGACTTCCCACATCCATTTTCAGGGTATTCTGCTACTGTCTACCGTAGTATGTTTTTTTATTTTGAAACTTATTTCAATATGAACATATTTTTATCATTAATATTAATTATGTTATAGTTTTTAACATGTTTTAAAATGTACTTTTCAAAGGAAAAGCGTACAGAAGTGCTTATAAGCTACATCGTGTACATAAAAGACCAAATGCAACTGCATCAAGACATTTGTAAGATGTCGGATATAAAAGTCGTGGCCCGAATACGGACTGATCGGGGCACGTTTGTGAATCCTAGCAGAGAACCTATTCATTTCACAATGACGTATGGGAACAAGTATGACTTAAGGAAGGATCTAACAGGTAATTAATAGATAGGGTGTAACAGATCTGCAGTTGATCTGTCACCAGATAGATTGGTCACTAGAGTGACATGGTCGTACACATGACTTAGACAACATCAGAATTAACATCTTATATACAAACCAGATGAACATTTTTTTAAAATTTTGTATGTTGTATAAGAGAGCAGCAAGCTAAGTCAGCTAAACGGGTGGTAGCCACTGTGTGTGCGCTGAACCGTGGAGATCTCATGGTCCCCGGTTCAATTCCCATCACTGCTCTCCTTGTGTTTTAGCTGGAGGGCTGAAATGCAATTTTCTAAAGCGCACCGTCTTTCAGATGAGGAATTTTAGCCGTTGGTTCCATGTCAAAATGATCCATGTGCATGTTAAAGAATGCAGTACACTCTTTAGAAAAAAGTAAGGGATTGTTTCTGGTGTACTACCCAATCACTACCAGAAGGACCCACTGGAATTAAGTCTTCTTCAGACTTTCATGGGTTATCCTTAGTGTTCACACCGAATAAATCAATCCATCCAAAATCAAATTAGGTAAAAAAATAGGTATTATTGGCTAGTTATATCCTTGAATTTATGCAAATGCAAACAAGAAATCATTATTTCTTATATTATTCAGGCGGTGATTGGACTTTTGTTGATGAATGCTACCTAAGGAGCAGTAAACAGTTCTCCCCATCACACACTCTGCAGTGGCACCAGTTCCTCTCTGAGTTGGGCGTTTTGAACTTGATAGCTATTGAAAGAAAGACATTAACACTACAAAAAACTGATATGGTAGGTTTGGTATATATATATATATATATATATATATATATATATATATATATATGTATGTCAATTTTAATATCCAACATATTATTTGAACCAGAAGATTCCAAACAAATATAAAGAAGCATACATGCTTCCTTAATATACAATATATTTTCAATCCCAATAAAAGGTAATCACATTCATAATTCATACTCATACCGTGGACTGAAAATATACAAACAGAAATATACATATGCAATTATCGTAATCTGAGAAACCAGATCCTTCTTTATTTATTTAGTGATCAAAGGGCGGTCTGTGTATAAGTGAAGACTGTTTTTAAGGATATTTGAAAAGTGATGCAGATTCAATATTATTTTAATAGACAAGCAAATAAGTGATTAAAGTATATATTTGTCTATCTATTTATGAAAATAACGACACCACAATTTTGCCATGGGTTATATGGGCAAAATGAACAAACCATGTGGTGTGAAACAAAATAATACCAAGCATAAGGTCTAGAAAATGAATCTGTAGAACTTGAGAAATTCTAGAGCTCAAGAAACAAATATGCTGCTTCAACAGCAAATGGAAAACTTAATAGCAAGAAACAATTGCGTATGGAAACCATTCTAATGACCATGTAACCAGCCTTTTCCTAAGTTCAAGGCATTTAAAAATCTCAGCTAGAAGCAGCAGGTCTGGATTGTTGCCAGCAGACCAGAAATTGTGATATGCATGAACAGGAGTAGCTGGTGTTATCGTAAACAGAAAGTTTTGTGAAAAATCATTCACTGCTTAATTTGACAATGGACCTTCCTGTTTGCCCCGACCTTTCAATATTTTTACTAATGTCTCACAAAAGGACAGTAGGGAGCTTTCGTCGATTGCACGACAACAGTAGGACGTAGAATGTAATGACTTCACTAAAAGTCATCTGCGCATGTGAGAACGTTAAGGTCACCTCGTCGAGTAGATTCTAGAATGCAATTAGTGTTAACATTCGCATTTACACATGCATTTTTGGGACACATGTTCTTGTTAATAGACACACGCTTATTGCTGGCACTGTTCTGATAGGTCAGTTGTTAAGTTTGATTGACCCACCAAAAAGGTTAATTCTTGAAATCACCAGAAGAAAGAACTTGAATGATGGAGTGAATTATTGAGCATGTGATAAAGTTCTCCACTAGATAGGTTAATTACGCGTCCATAAATACATTGCAATAGTCAATATTTCTGGAAAATTCAGCCTCTGACACAATGTAGGTGTCAAAATCATGGTAGTTGTAGATGCAAAAAAAGGCCCCCAAGCTGTCTATTTTGAGTTCGTGATTTTGCCGCGATTTTTTCGGTGGCTTGCTCAGACTTTATTTATCAAAAGTATTCCAAAATTTCTCACAGAGGATGTGTGTTGAATATGATGTTCAGAATCAGTGCAACCACGCATTGAAGCTCATCCCCAGTAAAAATAGGCCTATATTGCAAAATAATAGAAAAAACTGAATATAAGGAGACGACTTGGTTAGAACTTGGATAGAGCATTATTATTATAGAGGTATCTGATGGAACCAGGTGAGGAATAATTTCCACAATAAGCGATTTTCCATATTGCATAGCAACCTGATTGATTTGTTTGTCTATTGTGATTGAATGAATGTAAAATAATTTTTTTTGCCTTAGGCGAGACTTGTTTTACACCTTGTTTCGCAAACTTATCTTTTTAAAGATCGTCAGAAGGGTGGTGGTGGGGAAATAAAATTTTTTTTTCTTATCTAAAATAGTTTTGCAAGTCGAATGGCTGAGCGGTTAGCAGGGGCGCCGCAAGCTATAGCCATAATATCGGCGCTGGTTCGAACGGCATGCTCGCCTATGGTTATGGTGGTAGAACAAGCCTTCTCGGATAAAGACTATAAACCGTAGGCCCAGTGTATACAATGGCTCGTGTGCACTATAAAGAACCCAGTACATCTTTCGAGACGAGCAGAGGGATACCCCGGTGTACAGGATAAGACAGCCCTTGTGGTGTACGACGAGAGTTGCTGGTACCAGGTTACCGGGTAGCACATACACAAAAGAACCCTTAGGGGCGAAGAAAGTCATTGATCGAGTTCCTAGTCCACATATCAAGCGCCCTGAGCATCTTACATTAGATGGATCTGTGCGCTATATAAAACTACACTATTATTATTATTATTATTATTATTATTATTATTATTATTAAAAACATCGTGTGAGTGTAACTAGGTTAGTAATGGGATGGTTAATTGCTTTAAATTATATAATTAGGAATAAATATACATATCTTATTTTGGGGCATAATAGAAAAAAAAAAAAAGAAAAACTGAAATTGGCATTTGCCAAAAATAAAATTTTATTTTTATTCAAAATCATTATCATTGGAGGTCGGTGGGTTTGCTAAACAAGGTACATAAAGTCTCAAGGAACAGTTAAGAGATAAATTTGATAGAAGATAAAATTATTGTTTGTATGCTTATTTCCACGGTTCACATAATTATATAAATAGCCAAGTCAAAGTAATAATTTATTAATTCAAAAAAATTGCTGGGGCGAATGCAGGGGGAGTGCAGACGGTGCGATTGCATCCCCTTAAATTGTATTAAGAAAAATAATTTTTGTATTGTTTTGTTGAAATGAACATCGGCCTAGTACCAGTAAGATTTTTAAGGTATGAAAGTGCAATTTGAGATCCATATTCTCAAAAATGTCTTGCCTCCACAACCATGGTGGGGCTTTAGAGGTTAATTCTCACACACCTCCTAATGCGAAATCCTGCACCCGCCCCAGAATTGTATTGCTTATACCATTAAACATTAAAAATGGATAAAACGTTACAAACATAAACAAATATATAAGTACCAAAACAAGGGCGCCAGAAGCACTAAATCAGCCCGAGAAAAGGAATAAATTTTTCTTACATGTTTATTTTTTTTAAACAAATTTTATAGAGGGTTAAATTTCCAGCTAGTTAGGCATGGTGCTTGAAGCAATACAATAATTAATAATTAAATCATAAATTAAATGTATATATATATATATATATATATATTTACATATATATATATATATATGGCTTATTCATTGAGGCATGCCTCTAAAGTTTAGTTTTGGCCTCCCTGTTTACTTGTTCAGGCTGTTTATTCTAATCCCACCTGGTCTATTGTTTCTAATCATGCTTGCATGAAATTCTCACTTTATACTATCTGGCTTTTTCAACCCTCACTCACTCGCCACTGAGGAAGGACTAGTGTTGTCCGAAAGCTCTGGTTCTATTTCTGGCTGTAGAGATATAAATTTGATATTAAACAGCCAAAAATAGAACCAGAGCTTTTGGACAACACTAGAATATTCATTTATTTGTATATATATGTATGTACAATAAAGAAATCTGACGTCACGGGAGTGAATTTAATGTATTGTATGCACTGCAAAACGGTATGTAATAAACTAGGCCTTCTTTGAAATCCTTCTAGGCTTGGCTACTTTAGTTACTTTGAGTTTTTGCAGAGAGATAGGTATTTGTTGTCATGTATAATCATGTGTGGAAACTATTTTGTCTGTCAATAATGTATTTTCTAAGCAGTGGCGTCTTTAGCTGGAGACTTGAGATGAGGTGGGACACTAATGAGGGGTGCAAGGTGGAATAAGGGGCTCAATGGTTTAGTGAGGGGGTGCTAGCTTGCAAAATAAGGTGTGGTATGGGGAAATTTTAGCTACTATTTCCAGTGGGTGCTGAATTGGTGTAGCCTACTTTTTTGGGGTGGCAAAAGTGCTTAACCATTACATGCACCATTGTGATTTTCTAAGCATGCCTAGGCTACAGCAGTAACCCTCCTTTGGGACACTCCTATTCAGGGGACACCCCTATAAGGGGGACGCCTTTCTGTTAAACGAGGGGAAATATGTCTTTTAACAATACGGTCTACCTCTATTACCACACCTATTAAGGGGAGGAGGACACTTTCTGAGTGTGACAAATAGTCAAATAACCCCTTAAGGGGACACTATTTGTTTCATTGTACACAACAGATACAGTAGTCTCATACAAGGAAATGTATTTAACTTTATATTTTGACACTTTTGAGCAATAAACCAGAATTTCTCCCCTTAATCCACAGGTGGGGAAAGTGCGACCCGACAGTGATTTTTTTTTTTGTGACCCGCGAAAACAAATTAAAAAAACCCTGTGTGTGTGCAGCCCGCTAAGCAACATTGCTAGGAAAACACCTTGACTATCATATGTAAAAAGTAAGATTAAAACTAGGAATAATGTGGTGTAAAAGCAGTGCTTAGTTTGGAGGTTTTTGGAAGCACATCGAAGTTTGGGTGCAGCCCTCTGTGTTACATAAATCAAAAATTCACTTTGGCCCTCCTACCGATTTTTATGCCCACCCCCTACCTTAATCATTGGAGTGAACATTGGTATCAGGGCAGATTCAGAGGTGTCCGTGTGGGCCGAAAGGGGCCGACAGAAGGTAAGTACCCTAAAGGGGTCTGGTAGAATGCCCCTGCAAAGTGTTTTGTTTTCTAGAGGCCCGGAAATTACCTCTAAGCTGAGGTGTTATTTTGTGTGATCAATATTTCTTTTGTGTTTTACTTTCCAGAAAGGGGAGAGCCCTCTATCCCCCACCCCCAAATCGGCAGTGGCGTATCTAGGGGAGGGTGTGGGGTTGCACACCCCTCCCCCAGTCGCCTCCCCAAAAATCATGGTCAAGTAGTTAAAAATCACCATATTTTGCGAATTAGCGCCCTTCAACTGATCATCTACCCCCTCCACTTTACCTTCTCGCCCCTCCCAATCAACCTCCTCCCCAATTCAAGACTTTTAGATACGCCACTGCAAACCGGCCCCATAGCCCAGCTACTGTATGTGTTAATTTATATGAACCAATCTTGTCAATTTTGGCCCTTATAATTAACTGTGGATTTCCTTTTCATTGTTTTTCGTGTTCTTTCATATAAGGATTCTAATCCATACCATAACATGCACCCTTAATGCAAAGTCGTTACTCTATTCATGCTACATCCATCTAATAAAAAGCTCAGTATTAAAATAAAATATTTAGTAATTAACATTGCACCGTGAGATATATTGGGAACATAAATCTATTACACTGTTAATTTACTATTACATTTCTAATGATATTATAAAGAATGTACGTCATCCAAAAGCATGCCAAAAAACCCTATTAAGGGGAAATTTCTCGTTGTTGGTCACTTTCCTTAGTCTCGTAGATACCGTATTTGCAATGAAGCATGCCAATAAATCAATCAATTTATTGGGTCCACTTTCGATACAGTGGCACTCATCAGGGGCGGATCCAGAGATGTCCAAAAGTGAGGGCGACTGAAAGTTGGGCTGATCGGGACAAGATTGCCCTGGGGGCCCGGGACATTCCCCCGCGAAATTTTTGTGTTCTAGACGCCTGAAAATAACATTTGAGGCATTCTGAGGTTCTGGGCTGTTATTTTTTTTTTCTTTTTTTTTTCTCTTATTTTTTTAACCTCCCAAAAGGTGTGGGGGGGGGGGGCGTTGTTGGCCCCCCCCCCACTAAATCTGCCCCTGTAAATTTAAAAAGGCAAATTGGAAAAACCCATAAAACAGCAAACCGCCACATAATGCAACAATTTAAAATTAAAACGGAACAGTAGAGAAAATCCGATCAGAATGACAAAATAAACTATGCATCCACTGGAAGGAATCCCAATATCTGCGGACGGATCCGTTTCACCCTTCCAGGCCTCATCAGTGCGGCTAGGGTACAGACCCAAACGAAACGTTCGACCAGCTTAGGTAGGGCCCAAACTAGTCCCACGACCACTAATAATTACAGAGCCAAACCAAGGCAATAATATAGAACGTAGCCAGTTGATTTGTGGCCGAGTTGACTTGTGGCCGAGTTGACTTGTGGCCGAGTTGACTTGTGGCCGAGTTGACTGTGGCCGAGTTGACTTGTGGCCGAGTTGACCTGCACCCTGTTGACTCACTTGGGTGTTCATTTAACCTGGGATGCTCGATCAGACTTGCTATCACCATCGCCCAATACTCCGCTCCACCCAACCCTGTTATCTCGTCTAGACAAGTCACAAGTTAAACTTGGGAAGTCAACTTCAAAACTGTTGTCAAACGTTTACCCTGTAGAGGATGTGGAATATTGGTCAAAACTAGCAGCGCCACCTATACCCAAAGAGGCCAAAGAGAGAATGTGTTTGGACCAGGGCCTGAACACAATTCCTAAAAAACCTTCCAAGTGTTTCACTAATACAAATCAAGCTGCTCTCGAAGATACTCTTCAGTGTATTGACCAATCTGCGAGGGAAGGTGTACGAGCCATTAACGCTTGTGGTTACTTAATTTCATATATTGGGGACCCGAAAGCATCACCACAGCTGGTATCAGGTGCAGTTTCCCTACTCAAAGAAACCTTACCCTTAGTGGCTGATGAGCTAGCCACCATCACAAGTTTGGCAGGCACAGAACGTCGGAACAATGTTTTGCGTGCGACTAAAATATCTCCGGAACATTTTGATAGTTTTCTTCATATGCCATCCTTTGCTGCTGATGACTTATTTTTTGGTTCGTTTTCAGATAAGGCAGCTTTGATCCAACAGCTTGAGACACCAGCTCCAGCTCAGGATTTTCTTGATCGTTCACGACAATCTAGAAAGCGACCGTCTGAAATGCCACTGCCAGTGTCATTGATGACGTCGCGATATAAGCAGCCACAACAACAAATGGTCACACAGACCCAGTATTATTTGGAACAACAATCAGTTGTTGATGGCCCAATCCGGCGACGAAGGCGTCGCAACCGGAATAGGCAGCGCAATTCCCACTTCCAATAATTGTAGGGCTTGCCCAACTTCGGTGTTTGGGGAAAGCTGGGTTGGTGGTTATTGTGGCTGCCATATTATGGGTTCTGTTTTTGAGTATAATATGATGAAAATAGCTCTAGTGCAACATATTGTTTATTCCGGATCCCATTTACATTGTTTTAAGTTGAAAATAAGGCCTGTGTTAGCATTTGGTCTAATAGAAATTTTATTAAAATATTACAGAAGTACTGTTTTAAGAAGTGAAATTTTATTTCATTGTTCCTAAACATATTATTTCTATGCATTTGGTTGCTGGATTAATAAGTTGGATAATTTTTAGCAAGAGATTTCATTAACATTTATATTTCACAATTGCTGGTGCATCCCATACTGTACAACACAGGTGGGCAAAGTGTGGCGGACATTGATTTTTTTGCGGTCAGCGAAAACGACTAAGTAAAAACCCTGTGTGATTGCCGCCAACCATCTTTGGCTAGAAACACCTTGTTTTTTGTGGCCCCGACACCGATCATCTACAAAAAGTAATCATTAAAACTGAATTTAAAGTGGTATTACAGTAATCCACAAAGGTTTTTAGAAGCACACTGGAACCATCAAAATTTGGATGCGGCCCTCTGTGTTAAATCAAAAATTCTCTTTGGTTCTCTGACTGATTTTTATGCCCACCCCTGCTGTACTGTCAGTCGCAAAATGGAAGGTGACTGCTTGCTTTGTTGACATTGACTTACTGAGGTCAAAGTGAGTTCATTGTACTGAGTGTATAGTTACCCTGGATTTATTTTGAAACCACACTGAACGTGTTCTGTATGGTTGGATGTCATTTCTTGCTGTTTACATCATTGCTCATGGATCTACTGTACATATAGGCTTTTAAGATGCTATTCGATAATGCAAAAGTAGATTGATTCCACATCACTTGCTCATCTTAGTCTGCTATAGACATTCTTCTGTGGAATTGCAATATAGAGCCGAGATCATTGTCCGATATGAATCTCAACACAGGTATAGTAATATTCTAGACTGCATTTAAGTTTATATCCAAAAACTTGCACAAAAATAATGATGGCTACAGTAAATATATACAGTTATCAATAAAGTTATTGAAACATATTTACTGAATTTTATATCAAGTTTAAAAAGAATTTAAAAAAGGCGGCTATGTAACACATCACAACACTACAGTACACACTGGATAACAAGAAAGACTGGTTCAGCCTCTAATTTGGAAACAAAATAAAATTAATGCTGCAAGTTTCCAATTACAATTGTTAAGTTTTTAAATATTTTTTATAATTCATGGAAAATATTTTTTACTACTAAGGCAATTCTTTTTTAATACCTTGTTTTAGCGCATCTAGTTTTTGAAAAAATTTTCAGCAGCAGGTGGTAAAAAGTAAAATTTTCTTGCTTAACTTTTAGCAAAATTATCCTGCCAAAAGTACCCGAGTGGAAGAGGGAAAAAAAAAATTATTTTCCAAATAATTTTTTTTTTTTAACTAAAAAGAAAAAAATATAATTTACATGAAATATGGGTGGAATGATAATACACTAAAAAATAATGAAATATAAAATACCGTAAAACAATATTTTTTTTTTTAAAGGTGGTGTGTTCTCTAAAAAAAAATATCAAAAAAGTATCGCGTATTAGAGTGCCTTAGTATTATTATTAAATCTTTACACATGCTTATTAACTGCATCAATTTCTTCCAGGATTCGTCAATTTGGAGCAGTGAGTGTAAGACATGGCCAGTTCCAAGTGATGGGTGTTACCAGGTTGAAGATAGCAGGAGCAAGCAATTGGAGAAACTTCTTGAAAATAACACAAAGGGAACCGATGACAATCATAGAGTTATGAATAACCTGCTAAACATTCTAGATAAAGAATGGGATAACTTTAGTAAATTTGTGACAGCTTCACTAGTCATTGGCAACCAAAGAAAGAAATCAATCGAATCAAGTTTTGCAAAGCTATTATTAAGATCATCTTGGATTTCCACAAGCCCAATGCTTGACCCAGAACTCGGAACTCGTACAGGAAAACGTTTGTTACCACCAAATCAGGTTTTTTTGTTCTCCAAATATCTTCGTGGTTTCTTAGATGAGCATGTTCCTTATCTTCTGGGATCAACACCAGAGAATAGAGAGCTTGTACATTTCTTAGGCCTTAAAGGCGAAGATGTCGTAAGGGATGTTAACTTCCTACTCCACATGCTTCAGAGTTGGTGTACAAGAGGAAAAAATTCCCAACCAGATGAGATCATGAAGTCGGGAGCAGTTTTCACCACGTCTATTGAACATATGTTGCAAGTTTATATTCACCTGCAATTGCACTCACCACCAGGACAGCTTCAAAAATTTTTTGAAAACTTCCCAGCTGTATTTCTGCCTTCAAGTGTGTGTGAACAACGCAGGGTTGTCACTGGAAAATTTGTACACAAGTCTTTGACATACTGGATGGATCCTACCGAACTATTTCACAAGTACAGTGCCCCAACTGACAGAGTATCTGTTATTGAATTCTATGGGTCAAGCCAAGATTTTTTTCAGAAACATCTTAGGATTGATGAGGCACCAAACATGCTTGAATATTTACAGCTCCTTGTCAAGATTACTAGTGAAAATCAACTTCCAAATACTATTGTTCACTCTGATGTTTTAAAGATCTTTGAAATTCTCGGGGAAAAATGTGCTAGATCAGGTCATACCTACGGCAAAAGCAACTTGGCAAACAATGTCATAGATGTTGATACCAATAGAGCATCCTATTTGAAGAACAACCTGAAGGAATACAAGGTGTTTCCCACCAAAGCAAATAGGTGGGTATCTCTTGATGATGAGCCAATGATAGTCGATGAAGGATCGAAGGACCTTGAAGAACTGTTTTCTTCTAACCAAGATATTCATTTTCTTCTAGAGGATGCTGAGGAAAATTTGACCTCAAAACGTGGAGTAAAAAGTCGATCCAGCATAAACAGAAAAGGAACACATGAATATGAAAATGTTCAACGCTTTCTACAAGTATGTGAACTTAAGCATCTGTCTGATTGTGTTAAGACTGAAAGTATTCAGGTTTTAATTAGTCCATGTCCAAGCCTGAAGAATCTAATGCATCATGTTGTTCCATATGTGCAGTCCTTTTTGCTTTCAAAGTACCACGAGGTTCACGAAAGGCTGGTTTCCAAATTCAAAATACAGTCTAAACTAAAAATTATGAACTTCATGACTGTTTCCAGCCTGGAAGTTGCTTATAGATTAGAGTACTTAAAGAATGGTGAATATGACACTGCGGTAATGACCACTAAACAAAAGTGCATGATAACTAACAACTTTTATGTAAATAAGACAATTGAAAAAAACATTAAGGGAGACAGTTCTGTAAGGAAAGAAGTAGCCAAGTTTTTTAGTGATGGAGATAATGATTGCCAAAAAGAGATGCAGCAATTCCTAAGGTCGGTGATGGCTTTTGAAGATGAGGAGTTTCTCGATGAATGGGGTGTATCAAGAGTTCAAGGGGTAGATCTGTGGGAAGTTGAGAAAGTGGAAGAACCAAAGCCCATTCCTGGTAAGTGTTGAAATCTACAGTTCGTCAAACATCTGCTGTTTTTAGCCTGATCAGTACGATGGCTTGCATATTATGGTGATCATGCATTAATGTACCCAAGTTGTCTTTCAGTACCACCAATGTGGAGACAGCCGGGTCAAGCAAGATTTGCCGCTGGGAGAGTAAAAAAGTCCCTAGCAAGAACATTAGTGGGCGGGGCCACAGGCTGCCCAGAAACCCTTAGAAGGGCCCTGGTGTGAAGTGCCTGGAATCTTCGAAAATGATTTTGACAGGCTCTCATAAAATCAGGCCCTCATAAAATTAGAAATGTACATGGAATTTTTTTTTCCCACATTTTTTTCTCTCCAGACCACCTCTCCTACCTATAACAAGAGACCCTGGTTCCAGGCCCCACTGTGGTGCCACTGCTCTCTCCTCCAGAGGCCAAGTGCCCTGGGTCTTATAGGCTTGGCCTCCACTTTTATGCATCCTGCCAAATGACCCATTGAGGCCCTAGTTTCCCACCATTAGAAGGCCTGGCAGTTGCATTAATTCTGAGCCCAAGGACCAACGCATTGCCCTGATTTTTCTATCCAGTAGTAAATAAAATTTTGATGCATTATTATCTGTTTGTTGTGTATGGCCACACAACTAGGTATACTCCTCAGGCCGAGTTGAGTTGCTGATCGGTAAGGCAGGAGTGCTGCCAGCTCCTACAGCCTTAATGTCTGCACTGGTTCGAGATAATTCCTCGCCACAGGCTTGGTTGGTAGAACTAAGTCTTTTACAACAATAAGGACTAGAGATAACGACCATAGGTTTGTGTGCCACTTGTGAAGTGCACACAAACAGTGGTCAAAGTGTACATGGCTTGTTCACTTTGCAGAATCCATTGCATCTTTTGTAAGAGTAGGGGGCTACCCCCAATGCTCTGGTTCATTTCAGCCCCTATCGTGGTGGTGTGAAGAAACATAAAGCCATTAACCAGCTGTCTATGACTGCTGCAGTAGTCACAAATGACGCTGCAAGTAATGGGTTATTATCTTAAATCAGTGTTCAGGAATAATAACATTCTTTGCATCTTTATAATTTTTTTTTTTTTTTTTGGAATTTGTACATTATTCTGTGAATTTGAGATTGCAGTCTTATCTTCTGTTAAAATTTTTTTTTTAAATTGTAATACAGTACCCAATTAAATAGAACTTTTAACAATTTTACTGTATTCATTTGACAACTCTGCTGGGTGTCGAAATAGTACTGTATAAACAGGACAGTACTGTACGTTTATTTTGCATTACTTTCCGTAGTTCTCAAAACAGTGGTACCTGTGACTTCAGAAAATGAAAACACAACAAAAAACCTTGAAAAAAATGAAGATGGACCAGGCATCTACTGTTGGCCTCCTAAATCAAGTGCTTATGGAGTAGTAAAATCAGACAGTAAGTTCAATAGCATCTACAGTGTAGTCCAAAAACAACAAACCTTTGTTAAATCCTGAGTCTAAAATACTTTTATGGTGATTGGAAATTGCACTTTTGATATTTTAATTAATTAATTTGATACTGAATTAATTTGATGACTTGCAGTATAGTGCCTACTAGGGATTTTAGCCTAGTGATTATACTATTTTATTGAGCGAAATAGTTGATGGTTAAAGATGTACTATCAGTCAAAAGGACAGGTGAAGACTGTTCCTAAACATTTGAAATAATAGCTCAATCCAACGAGAATCAGATCGAAAAAAAAATAATAATTTCCCTAATTACCAGACATTGTTCTACAAATGATAACCAGTCAATTTAAGGATCTATGCAAAATATTACAGGAAAGTAATTTAACTGCCTGAAAAATTATGGGAGAATTTTTTTTAATTCATTTTTTGAATTTTAAGTTAATAATTTAGAAATTAAGCAATTCACATACTGTAAAAGCCCCTTTTAGCCTAACAGTATCTGTTACTTGGTCAACACAACCCATGTTAAAGATGAGCAGGAGAATACATTCACTATATTTAGATCAGGGCATAGCAAGGGAAATAGTATTTAATGAAATAACCAAATGTAGGCTGTTGGCTCATAACTATTAATTGTAACATTTTTTGTGATGTGTAAATCCTCGCCAAGGTCAAATTCCTACCAGTTTACATGTTTATATTTCATGTTTGCAGAGGCAAAGAATCCTTCCGAAGAAGAATCTTTGAAGCAGTGGCCACCACCTCTACCTGCTCAACCACTGATTGATGTCCCTCCAAGTCAACAGCATAATATCCCGAGAGAATTGGGTAAAACATTTTACATATTATATAAGACTTTAAGGGTTTAATTTTATTTGTCATTGACATACAGATGCAGTGCGAAGCATAAGTTTGGTGCAGTTGTTTACTCTGCCTTCACCAATAATGAATTTGGAACTTTGCGAAAGACCACTTAATCCTGAAAATGTGGTGAATTCAAGTGGTGACAGGAGCTGTGCCAGCGGGGGTCTCGGGCCTAGACCCCAGTCGTCCGACGCCAAGACAAGATCGCTGGACCAAAAATATTAACTTGCCAATCCAAATAATGTTATTGCCAATCCAAATAATGTTATTTTGATTGCAAGTCCCTGTATTGTGGTCTAAAAACTCTGCCCATCAATCCTGCAATGAATTTTTATTTGGGGACCCTGGCCAAACACCTAGTCGTACCCTTGGTTTGGACCCCATAGTTGGACCCTGTCAGCAAATTTCAGGAGCCACCGCTTACTTGCGGTAGCGTCTGAATCTCATTCCTTTCAACGTTTCTGACAGCACAACATAAACATTACTGATGCAAAGACAAGACTGTCCATCCTCCTATATTATTTGCAGCAAATTAGAACATGAATGAGCTGCTTGTGTGTGTGTATGTATGTATGTATGTATGTACTGTATATGTATATATAAATATATATATATGTTTATATATATATATATATATATATATATGTGTGTATATGTATATATATATGTTGTTTTTGTATTTATATGTATATTCTTCTATAGGCATACAAGATTTCAAGGCGATGGATAAACGACCACCTTCAGATTCACCCAATGACAGACAACTCGCCAATGACCATCAACTTACCGCAAATTCTGCTAGTAATGTTGACAATATCCGGTCAGATGTTACAAATAGATTTGGTATCAACACTTTACCAGACATGAGCCAAGGAGAACTTAATTCTACAGAGCTTGCAGGGAAAACATCAGCATATCCCACTTCACCAGGTACTGGTGTCAGTGTCACAGAGGGAACGTCAGCATATCCTACTTCACCAGGTGCAAGTTTTAATCTTGCAGAGGGAACATCAGCAAGATCCGGTGTCGACGGGCAATTCCAAACTCCACCAAATCCACACAGGATCGCATCTCTCAGTGGCACTCCAAAAAGTACTCCAAGAAGTACTCCAAAGTCATTCAGCGCATCACCACCAAGTGAGGTTCAGTTGATTGAGGAGGATATTACACCAGATCTTCTTGATTTGCCATTTTTTGAAGAAACTCAGATAAATGTTTCAAACCCAAGTGATGACATAGTAGGACGGTGGGGAGAAGAACTTGTGTACCATCTTTTAAAGAACCAATACATGGGCGACTCTAACATGAAGTGCACAGTTCGCTGGGCCAATGAACAAGACGAGACAGGTAATCCATATGACATAGAAATACATACAAACTATGAGGGCGGTGTTTGCATTGAATACGTTGAAGTTAAAGCGACAAATTCCTCTGAAAAGAAACACTTTCAGATTTCAGCGAATGAAGTAACATTTGCCCAGCAGAAAGCCCCACACTATCACTTGTACCGTGTGTATAATGCAGGCAAGAAAGACACTGTTAAAGTTTGTTCATTAAAGAACTTAAGTGAGAAAATGGTCAAAAAGCAAGTTGTATTACTCATGAAAATTTAAAGTTGTTAAAGATGAGTAAAACAAATCATAAAACATAATTTTTAAAGCAACTTGCTTATTTTGCAGTAACATACAAATTATCGACTTAAGCATAGAAATCATTGAATTTAAAAAATAGTGTACCATTTTTAAACTGTATAATTGTAATAAAAATAATAAAACAATTCCAGTGACTGGAAGTGTGTTTATCATCTTTTGCTGTAAAATGATGTGTAAACATATTTTTTAATACACTACTATAATCTCTATTTTTCTATTTCTAGGTTGATAATATTTTTGTTACTTCAAAATGGGCAATTTCAAAAATGATTTTTTTTGTTATTTTGCAAGGATCAATACATCTTTAATTTATCTTATCTTTTTTTTTTTATGTGCTGTAATTGCAGCATTTACATTTTGCTAGTATTTAAGTTTACTGAAACTTTCCAACATTATGTAGAAAATATTACAATTTTCCTACCGAACCAGAAATCAAATCAGTATACTGTATAAGAATCATGTTTGCGAATTTCGGTAGGTTCCAATTTTCTCTGAATTGTAAAATTTAAACAGCTTCTCTTATGTCTTGCAAATTCTGCGAATGACTCATTGTAAATCTAGCATTTCGTAAGATGTACTTGCACGTATTGTAACATTATTCCACATTACCATTCCCAATCCATTTATATCTCTGTGTGTTTACAATAACAATCTATCGCCTGTTCAAGGTTATGTATGTATCTATATACTATAGTGAGTTTAAGATGCGTTTTTGACAACTATATTATTGTAATGTACAACCAGAGTTAATATATATTTCTCTCTATTTGTGCAGTTTTGTAAACACCCGAATATATTTTTAAGCTTACATATGAACTCGGATCAATTTCTGGCTTCTGACAAAATACAATTTTTGTTATTAATCGCGGTTCAAATAATTCAGTAAAGGAGTAGGACGGTGGGGAGAAGAACTTGTGTACCATCTTTTAAAGAACCAATACATGGGTGACTCTAACATGAAGTGCACAGTTCGCTGGCCAATGAACAAGACGAGACAGGTAATCCATATGACATAGAAATACATACAAACTATGAGGGCGGTGTTTGCATTGAATACGTTGAAGTTAAAGCGACTAATTCCTCTGAAAAGAATCACTTTCAGATTTCAGCGAATGAAGTAACATTTGCCCAGCAGAAAGCCCTACACTATCACTTGTACCGTGTATATAATGCAGGGAAGAAAGACACTGTTAAAGTTTGTTCATTAAAGAACTTAAAGTGAGAAAATGGTCAAAAAGCAAGTTGTATTACTCATGAAAATTTAAAGTTGTTAAAGATGAGTAAAACAAATCATAAAACATAATTTTTAAATCAACTTGCTTATTTTGCAGTAACATACAAATTATCAACTTAAGCATAGAAATTATTGAATTTAAAAAATAGTGTACCATTTTTAAACTGTATAATTGTAATAAAAATAATAAAACAATTCCAGTGACTGGAAGTGTGTTTATCATCTTTTGCTGTAAAATGATGTGTAAACATATTTTTTAATACACTACTATAATCTCTATTTTTCTATTTCTAGGTTGATAATATTTTTGTTACTTCAAAATGGGCAATTTCAAAAATGATTTTTTTTTTTGTTATTTTGCAAGGATCAATACATCTTTAATTTATCTTATCTTTTTTTTTTATGTGCTGTAATTGCAGCATTTACATTTTGCTAGTATTTAAGTTTACTGAAACTTTCCAACATTATGTAGAAAATATTACAATTTTTGTTTAGATGTTAGATTATTAAGTAAGCGACTATACACTTTTGACCAAGTAAACGCATGTTAGCCTATATTTTATGCAGCCAAGTTTGGTTGTCTTGTCTTTATTATATCAATAGAATAGAATATTTTCTAAAGCACTTTTGTTTAAAAAAAAAATGATTTCACTGCATGCATGAATAAGTGAGCTTCATTGTTAACACATTGGAACCATCACCTAAGAAAATCCAGTACCAGGGGTCTGATATCCAAGGCGAGAATTTTTTATACCTTGCTTTCAAACCTGGCGCCTGCCTATAATGATGTTTTTTAATAAAAATAAAATTTATTTTTGACCAGTTAGCGCACCCGTTGATTTCTGTGCACTCTACAGTAGTAAACGAAGCATACCTCCCCTCAGATCAAAGGCCTCTATCGGGACTATGCTCCCTCCCCCAGCAAAAGCATCCTGAATCCGCACCAGTGAAGGTCAAATATAAATTATATTAGGCCCAATATACCTATTAAAATAATTTATACTGTATGTCGATGATTTGAATATAATGAAAATGTATAACAGATGTATAATTAGCCATGACGACGGTGATTCATTATTTTCCATGTTACAGTACCATTTTAGCAGCACTTGTTGGCAATTTGAATTAGACCCATAGTGAATTTGGTGTTTGATATTCTGTATGTACGTGATTGTACAGTAATTATCAACAGTTGTGAACCAAGTCAAATCAATTTATAAGTCATTTATACATTTCCATTAAGATTGGTAGTATATAAGGCACTACACTCACATAAGTAATTCGTTTAAATCCAAGGCCCGGAGAAAAACTAAAATTTTGTTGGTATGTTTTATTTACAAATGAGTATTCTAAAACACTCAAGTGTTTGATGCCAAACTCAAAACTGCTAATAAGGTAAGAGGTCTTTGAAAATCTGAAAAATGGTCGAGGAGGGGTTGCTTTGCTCCCTTCCACCCACCTTCCCCTCGTTTTTTTTTTGTAAAAAAAAAAATATTTTTTAAGCCTACCGAACCAAAAATCAAATCAGTATACTGTATAAGAATCACGTTTGCGTTCTGCACATCAGAAACGCGGGCCGAATTTCGGTTGGTTCCATTTTTCCTGAATTGTAAAATTTAAACAGTCTTGCAAATTCTGCGAATGACTCATTGTAAATCTAGCATTTCGTAAGATGTACTTGCACGTATTGTAACATTATTCCATATCATTATTCCAAATCAATTTTCATCTGTGTGTGTTTACAATAACAATCTGTCGCCTGTTCAAGGTTATGTATGTATCTATATACTATAGTGAGTTTAAGATGCGTTTTTGACAACTATATTATTGTACTGTACAACCAGAGTTAATATATGTTTCTCTCCAGTTATGCACCCGAATATATTTTTAAGCTTACATATGAACTCGATCAATTTCTGGCTTCTGACAAAATACAATTTTTGTTATTAATCGCGGTTCAAATAATTCAGTAAAAATATCTTGGGTTTGATTTTGGATACATTTGTAGAACTGTTTTCGATGCCTTAATAAAAGTGTGTAGTGTACGCATTTGATTTCGAGTGCAATTCTTATTTTACACGTTATTGGTGGATTCAAGGGCAACTCCCGGCCTGGGGCCCCTACTTTTTTTTGGAATTGGGAAAAAGAAAAAAATATTCAATACTGCTTTTATTATAAGTCTGAGAGTGCCATTTAGAAATGCCATAACATTTTGTACTTCACCTCAGCCACGAAAACCGTGGTTTAAAAATTCCTTTTGAAAGGTCCCTTCCTGGGGCTCCTTCTGTTTTGAATATTTCAAATTCTGCCACCTCATACAAAAAGTAATCGGGTATTGAGAGCACAAAAAAGGGAAACATGCCAACTTAACTTGGCCCCTAGGCTCAAATTCAATCAAACAGTAGGTCGACATCAGTACTAGAAATTAAACGATTGATCTTACAGCGACGACACTCATCGATGTTTCTTGTATTCTTAAGGTGGAGAAATGGCCTGGAACACACAAACGAATGTATATTCTATGCAGTATTCAGTATTATTTGCAGTTTTTGAACAGGATAAACTTTCAGTTTGCCCAGAGATATATTTTGCGTTCAGAATAGGCAATTCGAATGGATTTTTATTTTTAGTTCATGACGACAGTATACATATCAATGACCATGAAAAGTATCCACGGGGAAAATTCTGAGCCCAGGATTGTAACGACATACTGTAATTACATTTACCAACCACAAAGGTGCACAACAAGACAACAAAATTGACCGACACAGAAAAGGTTAACAGTCCAAATTTCAGAGTTGTAGACTCGGTCAACGTAATCTCTGAACAATCCTATTGCCCCTTGAGCATCATCGGGTTTACTGCAACTACTAGGCCTTATTATTTTTGTTTTTCTAGCATATAGACCACAGTTGGCACATATGTGGGCCTCCGTGGTTGTTTTAATATTGTCAATGTAAAATAAATTACTTGTTGAGCGTAATGTAGAGAGCAGCTTAGCTCAGTCGGCTAATCTGGTGGTAGCCACTGTGTGTGCGCTGAACCGTGGAGATCTCTAGGTCCCGGTTCAATTCCCATCACTGCCTCTCCTTGTGTTTCAGCTAGAGGGCTGAAATATAGGTTACATAGCGCACCGTCTTTCGGATGAGACGTTTAAGCCGTGGTCCCGTGTGCATTTATGACCCATGTGCATGTTAAAGAACACAGTACACTCTTCGGAAAAGAGTAGGGGATTTTCTCCCGGTGTGCTGTCCAATCACCACCAGAAGGGCCCCTGGAAATAAGTCTCCTTCTAGACTTTCGTGGGCTATCTTTTGTGTTTACACCGAATAAATCCAATCCAATCCAAAAGCAATTGCATATATTATTGTGCAGGCTATCTAAAGGTACAGTATCGTATGTCTATCTTATTTATCCGTTTGTGAAACCGGGAATACCACCGAAATGTAAAACGCCCCAGAGGAAGACCAAAAACCACATAGTCCTAGATACAAACAAAATAAGGACTTGCATCAACTTTAAACTAAACACTGCTGAAACACGTCGATAAAGCCTGTAAAAAGTGAATACGTAATTTCTCACTAAGTTGCTTGAAACTGGGCATGTGGCATAAGCTATTATTAGTAAGAATGATGGAAAAGGATCCAATATAAGCATGTTCTTTAAGAAAGTATTGTATTACATACTCCAAGTACTGAGCTGAGTATGAAAATCTAACTGTGTTTTTTTTTAAAGGTTAATAACGAACATAATCAGCATATTTTCGTATTCCCCTCCCCCATTATCCCCTCCTTTATTTTAAACTTGATCATACCTATAGCCTATGCCAATTCAAGCAGCATTATTTAGTCAGAAATTACGTTGACCTATAATACGTAGGCCTATTCACTTTTTTTTTCAAATAAAAATGTTGGCTGGGAAGTGAAGGCAAAAATTAAAAGCCCTCAGCAAAAGTTAAACGGATTCAAATAGCATCCATGTTTCTCTGAAAATTGATTTAATCGGGGATTTAATTGATTAAAATGACCAAGGAGGTACTACTCCTAGCTTGAATGATTTGTAGTCATGGCACCGGCACTGTACTTGATTTTTTATCATCAGAAAATTATGCAAAACGCCCTCTAGCAGTTATGCGAAGAGTTCGTTTAAGAGAGTTTTCCTTCCATTGTTGGCTTTGGCTATAATCATCATTATTATTGCTGTTTAAAGACAGCATATTTGATCAATTTTCAAGGGTCTGTATTTAAAAATTGAAAGATTTCATAATTTTGACTCTGGTCAAAAAAGTTTTATTTGTGCAAATAATGGCAGCAAGTCTGTCTTTGAGAGCACACTGTGATATCCACAGATGGCAACAATACTTTTTTTCCACAAAAATGTATCTCATATATACACCATAACAATGCCCCACTTTGAATATACTGCCCCCTCGATTAAACGCCCATTCCAGAACTTCATTTGGAATAAACGCCTCTCTCGAATAAACTTGTTTTGGGCTTTTTTCCCTTGAATAAATGCCCCCCCCCCCCCAACAAAATTACTAATGGAAGCAAAATCATTCTCAACACTTTCTATTACATTGATGTTCTATTTAATCAGGGTTCCCAAGTCTCCCGGAACTTTCAGGAGTCTCTCAGAAATCGGGATGTTCTCCTGCACTCCCTGCAAACAAGCAAGAATCTACCGGAAATAAACCATCTCCAGCAAACTCATTATTTTCACATGAATTCACTGCTTTATTATCAATTGTCTCAAAGAAGTCTGAGCCAATGGGTCTGAGAGTGCTATTTCCAGCCATTTAGAGGTGCCATAATGATAAATTGCTTTACCTCAGCTCCAACCATGGTGGGGCAGGGGTGGTAAAGATCTTTCATCTGTGAAAGTCCTAGACCACCACCCCCCCCCCCCCCCCCACAAAAAAACAAAAAAACAAAAAAAAACCCTTCAGTTTTGAATTCTTGGATCTGCCACTGCAAATCTCCCAGAAATGGTTTCTTCCATCTTGGGACTCCTGCTTTAGAGTAACAGTAAGGCAGAGATTTATGGTTTAGGATGGCCCATAAAAATTGGACCTTAATATTAGAGATTAGGGCAAACAATAATTTAGTTTGGATTGGCAAATAATGTTTTTTGTGTGACCAAAGTTCATCTTGTTAATGTGACTCCCGCTCGTCTTGCACCGTCACTGTTCCTATGATCTAGTTATGCATAGCAAATTCACCTTACAGTATCGCACTTGTTTTATTGTTTTACACAGACTGACATTCGGGCAGTTTCTGGAATTCCAGAGGAGCATATCAAGACACGAAGAGTGAGGATCTTTGTCCCAGCCCCGGCTGCTACCCAGTCAGGAACAAATGACACCCATTGCTGGAAACTTGAATTTGAAACACGGGAGCGATGGGAAAATCCTTTAATGGGCTGGACTTCCTCGTAAGTTTCAACTAACCACTATAAAGCTATCTCAATATATTTTGATGTTCATGTAAAGCCCCTAATCAAATTGTTTCTTCAATATTTGTTTCCTGGTCGCCAAAGAAAATGTAGTTCTGTAATACTTTCACATCTGGATGCACAACGCATGACATTTTTGGTACACAGTGATGCTTATTCTTGTAGCATGTTGTTGATTTGGTTGCAATTGAGTGGAGCAAGGCTAATTAATTAAAGCCCTGTTCACACTATAACAATTTTATTTGACAAAAACATGTGACATGCCTATTATGGTCACATTATGACATATACAGACACATCATTAGGCAAAAAAAAAAATGTTGTGTTGCCCTCCGCGACTGACCGAAATTTTCCAAAAAAATCGGGTCAGCATTTTTTTTTTTTTTTTTGAAATTTTGTTTTTAAGTACAAATTCGAGAAATACCACTTCCGAAATTAACATTTAGAACATAGAATCTAAAACAGACATGTATTTTTATCAATGTTGAGCCATATTACAGTATATGCACACGTAAAATCGGTAGAATAGAAGGCATAATTTTGAAAACCGAGCGCAATGACGATACATGCACACAACATCGGATCTCTCGGGCTGAGCTGTCAAGACACGACCAGATCTAGGCCTGGGCATAACCTATTCTTTACTACTGTACAACTAGTGGTTGCTTAATCAAAAATCGTATCATTACCTTATGGTATATTGGACAATAAATAAAAGCAGACTTAGGTCTAGCCATCGCTTTAAAACCGGTACATAGCTAGACATTTTCGGCTTCGTTACAGTTTTAGGCCAACAATAAACAAAATATTTTTCTTTTTTTTTTTCTCGAAGTCTACTTTGATTTTATTACATAGAGGGTGCTTGGTTAGACATTTTTCATAGCCACAGTATGGTTTTGCTCGACCTGCCCGTGCGTGATCGTGTGGATCGGATACACATTATTAATTTACGTTTCGAAGCCAAATAAATCTTCCTTTAAACTGATTTATTTTTGTTAAATTTATTTCAATATACACTTGGTTAACATTTATTCCATCATTACTTTGAATACTTTTTGTTTGTCAAGCTTTCCATCGTTCTATTGTGGTGCCTATGAGCTACAAACCCTTATTAAGCCTAGGGTTTTCATATTAGGGACTGCAGTTTCAGGCCTATCCTATTTCAGGATTCATTATTACTATAAAAAAAAATTAAAAAAAATAAAAAAATTAGATTCTTATCACACAGTGCTGACAGTAACCAAATCATCTGATGTATTTCCCCTGACCTAAGTAATTACAGGCAGGATTAAAGATGTTCTCGTTTATGACTAAAATTTGCAACCTAGTGAATAATGTTGAATGAATGATTGATTATTTTTATAACTTATGTGTATAATTCACCCCAATGAAAATGTTGAATGAATGATTGATTATTTTTATAACTTATGTGTATAATTCACCCCAATGAAAATGTTGAATGAATGATTGATTATTTTTATAACTTATATTGCAGAGGTGATCCATTGTCAAATATAGGTATATCATTCGATTCTAAAGAGCAGGCTATTAGCTTTGCCGAAAAAAATGGTAAGTTTATTACACATTAAGTTAAAATATTAACCAGACATTTTTTTCTATCATGAGAAAACAGCAATTTTGAAACATAGTTCCATTTGATTTACCCAACAAAAGCTTTTGTAAATTCATGAAGCCATGTTCATTGGATATGTGAAGAACCCATAGAGATATAATAAGAATACTAGAGCGCTAACCGCGATGTATTCGATGTTCGAAATATGCAGAGCTGTGTGTGTGTACCATCCAAGAGGGCTGTCATAGATTTAGCCAATCAAATTTCGCTAAGCACTATCGTTTGCAATTGCGCCCTCAATTTACCCAGAAAGTTTATGGTGTATGGGTTTAATATCCACGATTTTATTTTATTTATTTTTTTTTTAAATTTTTGAATAAGATGCTCTACTTGGCCTCTTTTTTGGCTACGATAGTTCAATAATTTGTGATTATCAATACTAATTATCATTAATGAAATAATAGTCAGCCAGAGGGCTTATTTATGGTAATTATATGTGTACTAAGCCTGAAGGTGGCGCTTTCCTACGGCGGCCATCTTGGATGGTACACATACATAACTCTGCATTGCTTCGCCATCTTGTCAGCACTCTAGTGTTTTAATAGCTCTATGGAAGAACCATGGGATAGGATGACTGGTTTACAACCATGTGACATCATTTTGATATACCATGGAACACATGACAGTGTGATCAGTGTGCAAGTATAGGAAAAGGCAATGTAATGGCCGCGAAAACAACCCCCCCCTGTTGACGTGAGAAATTAATGGCAAGGAAAGTCAATACCATTGTTCAGAATAGCGTTTATTTACTTATCCTAGCGTTTTAGCATTGTATGCTTTGAAATTTATGTGATCCTTCGTAAACCTTAGCTACTGTAGCCTTAAAACTGTAGCGTAGTGTAGTTCGTGGGTCGAAGACTCTCATGCATACCTAAAAAGGCGGTAAATGTGCAGGGGCCTAGGCCTTTCATTTGTCAAAAAATCAATGTTTGTGGCCACTATCTTTCGAGCATTAGCAGACCATTAAAGTTAAAATTCAGAAGATCAATTTAGTATAGTTTGCTGGGAATTATGATGATCTTTACAGCAATGACAACACCGCTGTGCCAGTCCATTGTTTACATCCAACACCCAAGTTAGGTCATGAAACTTCCATCACCGAATCTGTCTATTGCTTTAATTTAACTGCTGTTTCTCTGACCTATTTTTTGCATGTTGTGAAATTTCACACTGTATGTGCATATTGATGATAATATATCTAATTTTAAGTAAATGGAAGATACTTCTGGAAAAATTTTTTATGTTTTTAAAAGTTTTGAAAATGAAAAACACAACATCTGGGTTGAGAGCCTAAGTTGCAGTCACTACAACAACCATTCCCATTGAAATCCTACTGTATCATAACACACGTACAGTATTTGAAAGCCATGCACCATTATCCATGTATATTATGCTTTTAATTAATCAGAACAACTATAACTACAGTACTCCAATTTAATTTTATTTCAGGATGGTGGTATGAAGTTGATGAACCAGTACCTAAAAAACCAGTAAAGCCTAAGTCTTACGGAGCTAACTTCTCGTGGGGAAAGAGAACACGAACATCTACTAAATAAATATAAACTTTATGCCAGATTATATAATGCCAGTATCATATGGAGTGTTTCAGATGAAGTTCAAACCCTGCTCGCATGCATTGTCTCAAAATTGGGGAAAACAGCAAATGTGTCGCAATTAATCAAGTAGCAATGAAGAGGCAAATGATTGTAAAGCAATGTTTGCTTTGCTGAGTGTCTTTGTTTTTGCTATGGATTTGTACTGTAGAAGAATGTTCAAAGGGTTGACATTCTAGCAATTGTAATTACAGTATTTGTAAATTCAGTAGATTCAAGCGCCATGTGTTACAGTAATTATTCCAAGTAAAAATTAATAATTATTGATTTTCTGGTTACATTTTTTATTTTATTGTCTTGTTTGTTCAATTTAGCCCCAATAATTTAGATCTGGTAGAAACATTCTTCTCACCCCTACTTTGTGACTGATCATTTGGCTTAGTCACTGTTTATTGTGCTGAAGACCCAGGCTCAAACTCTGCCTGCAACTGCTATTTATTGAGTCCGATCACTTGTCTCCTAGAATAATCCTCATATGAGAGATAGGTAAGCGGCATAGCTAGGCGGAATGGGCCCCAGTGCAAGATTAATTTAATGTGAAGTGTCAACCGAGGGCGGGAGACCGGAGTATAGCTAGGGAGAGGGGATGCTGAGAGCTGTCAGTTTCCCCCAGTGGGGTAGAGGGAATCCCATAAGCTGGCCTCTAATAATAATAATATGTCGTTCTTATATAGCGCTTAATACCTTAACAAAGCCCGGAAATATCACATGCATAATTAAAAGATAAATGTCCTTCACTTTAGTAATCGGGGCTGGCTTGAACAGTAAGCATATTTGTAGTGATAGTCCAACCTCCAAAATTGTATGTATAGTTTATTGTTATTTTATATTTATACCTATAAACATTTTCAAAATTAGTGGTAATTATTACTAAAATTAAGGATTGCCGAAAAGGTTAAAATGTACATAGTGCAATACAAAAAGAAGCACATGGTGAATTTTTGTTCTAAAGACAATGTGATGCGAACAATGTTAAATTTATACAATTCATAGGTAATGATATATATTTATTTTAAAAGTAATATAAATATGAGAAAAAGTGTTCCTGCCACAGCTGGTGTGGTTCCGACGGCCCTGGCCGATTACATCGTGGACCATTATGCAGTGCAACATACACATTGAAAACACACTAGCAATTGTGTAGCGATTTTATGGGAACCAGGCTTAACGTATGGTGGACTAATGTTTTTTAAATAGTGAGTATATCCTGTGTGTTCAGCCATTATGGAATATATTTATATTTCCAGATAAAGTGTGCGTCATTTTCTGGATATGTAGAGTCAACACCTGTAATGAAAAACATTTCATCAATTAAGTCAAACCGACAATGATAAATTTATGATTAATTGGTATTACTATAAATGCTATAACAAAAATGTATGTATAGCATATAAATATGCACTGCGTCCCCTAGTAAGGATTTGAACCTAAGATCTTCCAGTTAAAGTTCGGATACTCTACCAACTGAGCTAAGCGGTATACATCCTTAGATTTCCAATTAGGATCCGATTTTCTTCTTTCAATGTTTTGTGTAATATGCAATGAATTCATAAAAGCACACGACCGTAACTTTGGTATGGAAATATAAATTTAAATATAAAGAAATTTGGCCATCATTTTAAGTAATCAATAAATAGGGAGGAAATTCCTTTCTCCTCTTTGCATGAAATGGAAGTTTTTTAAACGTGAAATCAAAAACTTCCTTATCTGTGATAACATGCAGCCCTCATCAATGTGTCCATATTGGTATGGAAATATAAATTTAAATATAAAGAAATTTGGCCATCATTTTAAGTAATCAATAAATAGGGAGGAAATTCCTTTCTCCTCTTTGAATCTGCCAGGTTGTGATAGTGCAATCCAATTTAAAGTCCCATTATATTTACCACATGGTAGACGAGTGTCGGTCTCCGCATCATACACCATCCAATAGTAATTGTTGTCATTATAGTTGTTCTCGACTCCGTTGATGGAAGTTATGAAGTGTCCATATTGCTCATTGTAGATTGTTTCAAATCTATAATATTACAGATATAGTAACAGCATGAAATGGAAGTTTTTTAAACGTGAAATCAAAAACTTCCTTATCTGTGATAACATGCAGCCCTCATCAATGTTCTTAATGTTACTGTAAATGTGGAACAACACATAATTACGTCGAAATGCGTGATCATAGACTTATCGATCCCTACACAGTTAGATGGAACATTAATAGAATATGTTGAGGATTATGTTGCTTTCATTAGATTTGTTTGCCGTCATTTAGGGGGCGTTTATTTGAGAGAGGCGTTTATTCCAAATGAAGCTCTAGAGGTGGCGTTTATTCGAATAAATACGGTAATTTTTCTGTGATAAATATTTGTGATTTGACGATAAAGGCTTGAGATCCTATAGAAGAATACGACATAGCCCAATGGACTTTTCCGCTAAGCCCCGCCCCTTGGATAATGTTGCTAAGGTCCCGAAAGACGACACAAGTGCTCCATGGTTAACCATGGTTAAACCATGGAGGTATTATTGAGAAGGAGATCACTCGGCAACAGATCCCTTTGACGCGACAAACCTATGTGTTCCCCGCTTTTGGATCGCGCGCGGGCGTATTACCCTATAATTCACATTTTTTCGTTAGCAACAACTTGGCAACGACAGGCATTTATACGCTTCCAGCAGAGCAGTTGTGCAATAAAACTTTTGATTTTAACCCATTAAATATCTTTATAATGAACAATGTTCCCCTGATTAGATTTTTTTCGGGCTTTTGGTATGTTATTATTTGTATATTTCAGGAACGGATTCCGTAAAATA